ACATATTTTGAAATAAAAGAATAGCAGGAACACGTCCACTGAAAATACCTTTTATGTTGCACTTTGTGAATACAGCTGTTTCACAAACCACGTTTCGTTTGGAGAGAAATGCAATGTTCATAGTGCAGGGAGGGATAGTACAGAATTTCAGTATAAGTTTAAAATTTTGGAAGTTCATGGCATATAAATATTTAAAATATGTTGCACAGCCCTATGTTTTGAAATTAAATAAAAATAGATGGGCTTATCAACTTAATATAAGATATATATTTTTACGAAACTTCATAGTTAAAGTGGTGCAATTTTAGCCGTAAAAGGAGTTCCTGTGTGAAATCCCATTATCTATGTTACGGAAGTACAACCTTTGTTCGTGCTTGTTACTTTGATTATGAAGCGTTTGATGGACCTTTTTTTTAAACAATAAGGAGGATAAAATATTTCTGAATACCTTTTGACTTATTTAAAAAAAAAGAAACCTGGCAGTTACACTCTAAGTAACGACACACATGTATCTACGAATTGCTATCTTAGATACCAAATTGTATGAGTATTAAGATGAGATCGTTAAATGTCAACACAGAAATACTATGATTTGTCCTTGGAATGCATAAATGATAAAACACATAGTGTCACTTCTCTATGTCCCCTCCTTACATCGTATGAGTCCGATTAAGTCTCTTATGTCTAGGTATTAATCTAATTATTATTATTGTCAAAGTTATTACTTTACAATGTGCAAAGTCATAAATTCTATTTCATATAATAAAGCACATAATTCAAATAAAAACATGTACATTTTTCAAAATTTTGATATCATGGATACCGTTATCTTTCATTTTAGATACAACAACAATGCGTCATTTAGTCCCAACAAAAAATATTATCATACCATAAGGAAACAATTTACCAGTTTTATCACTAGACTTGACACTATCTTCAATAAATAACAATATTTGCGATTCATACTAACACACTGAGAACAACATTATATTTAGCGTGAGTATTATGTCAAAGAGACAACAACCCGACCAAAAGGCAGATAACAGTCGAAGGCCACCGATGGGTCTTCAACGCAGCGAGAAACATGTTTTTTGATATCTCAACCCTCCACCTACACCTCTAGCAAATGTAAAATGAAGAAACACATAGCAATACGCACAGTATGTATGTTATAAGGATCATCAGTACTTCACCGTTACTTTTGATACCTTAACTACTTGAATATATAACAGTGTTTGTTCTTTACACCTATATATGCGTAGGAAATCTGTTTTGTTTAAATGCATTACTTTCCAGTATGCTCTTTTTTGACTGGGTCTAATTTGATGATGTTACATCTTACAAAGTCTATCCAAATTATTTTGCCAAAACAAAATCCACTCAAGCCGGTGCTTGGACCGTTTTAGACTTGCAGTGATGCAGTTTTTTTTACCGTTTTGAATGATTCACTTTGACGTTAAGATAAAGAACAGCAAAACAAGCGATATTCCTTTGCTTTCCGTGTATTTATTGCTGTGCATATACTGATTTTACATCATACATGGATACGCCATCTTCTTTTTTCTTTGACAAAAAGCATTTAAAGATATGATCCGAGGCCTACTTGGAGACACATTTTGATTGTACCAGGATGTGTATTTAGATAAGAATTGTTTTCCTAATCGATTTAACCGTGTATGACTTCATTGTGACCTCATAACTGACATCTACATTAAAAAGTGTTCATATATTATTACCTAATGTATTCATCAGTAGTTAACACTAACATAGTATCAAAGGATTGACAAATAGTGACTTTCTTTGAGAACCCTATCGGGGCTCTCCGTTGATATGTTCTCTTTCAATATTTTTTTCAGTTTTGAGGCCTGCAGTTTAATGCGGGAAATACAATTATTATGAACATATGAAGTAAATTAAACAATACATGTTCCACTTTTCAGACACAAACGTTTATCTATGGCATGTAGTCTTTCTGGATTTTTATATCTGGACATCATTCTTAATTCAAACACTTGTTGCAAAGATGTTATGTTCATTGGTGTATCTAAATACGTTGCTTGATCTTTCAGATTCAGCTCCAGGATGAGACCAAAAGACATAGCTATCTGGTTGTGGCTCACGCTTTATGTCATGCTTGAATATAGGACAGAGACTATAGGTTGCGCCAGTCATTGTCAGTGTTTAAGCAAACCTATCGTTATTTGTTCCGGTCGAGATTTGAATTATATTCCCACAATGCCGAACGGCACGAATGTGGTTGTAATGAACGGTACAAATCTAACTCACGTCGGGCAAAATGGATTGGTCAATCTTACAGGTCAAGTAATAAAGAAAATAGAGTTTGAGAATGATATTATGTCTTACATACACCCTAATGCATTTAAAGGATTGTTATACCTGAGAAGTTTGTTCTTTTGGTACGAAAGAAGACTAAGTGTAAAGATTCTTAAAATTGTTATAGAAACCATGCCAAAAACACATCTCAAATTTCTTCATTTTCGCTTTAATCAGTGGACATCGCTCCCTCGAGACATGTTCATGAGTTTAACAAATATATCTCTACGAACACTATGGTTAGAAGGAAATAGATTTAACAATATGAATCTTTTCTCCTTTGTGAAAAAACTAAAAAAACTTTACTTATCCGGCAATTCAATATCACACTTTGCTACCACAGGCATACCCAAAACAGTCATAGAATTATATCTGAACAATAATTTGCTTCCTCTAATTCCCGATTGGTGTAAAGATCACCACAGAGGAACAAGTTTCTTACCAGATTTACGAGTTTTAGAACTCAGTTCCAACAACATCGGTGATATTGGTAAACATTCATTGTTATGCCTTCCAAGAGTGGACGTCCTGAATTTAGATGGCATACATATTGGAAAAATTAGAGACAATATTTTCGCCTCAATGAAAATGTTAAATACCGTAAAGCTATCTAAAATTGGAAACCCTCTAAAAATAATTGAAAGCTTCGCCTTTAATTCCTCATCTCTAATATCGCTTATAATGGAACAAACTTACTTTCATTTTGATAGAGCCGGTTTCAACCCACAATCAATATTTTCATCAACGCCAAATCTCGAATTTTTCAGTTTATCTCATAATTATCTTCCAAAAGATGAAAGAGTTGTATACAACATGTTTTCACATTTAGTTAAATTAAAAAAGTTGATACTGGCATCAGCTAGAATTACAATTCTTCCAAGATATGTATTTACCAAATTTAAGTCTTTAAAGTTGCTTTCTTCAGACGGAAACACAATCACAGGCTGAAACAATGGTGCTGACATTTTTCAAAACATGACATCCCTTAAAAGACTTATTCTATCAAATAATCAGATTAAAACTGTGAATGAACCTTCATTTCCGCCTAATCTGTTATCGTCAATAGATGGCATAGATTTGAGTAATAATCCGTATACGTGTGACTGTAACCTTTTATGGTTCAGTGATATGTTGAAAAGCACACCAACTAAATTTCTTCAGTACCCATCTGCAGATAGATGTCATCAACCATCTAAATTTGTTGGAAGGTTTGTGATGCTATTTGTAGAATCGAAGAAGACATGTCCGCCCTGGAATCCATTGTACACAATGGGAATATGTATAGCTTCCTTTTGGATAATAATGATGACTTTTATTGTTGTGGGAGTAAAATGTCAAACAAACATCAAAAACTATATCTATTTATGACGAGTACAATCTAGTAGAAAAAAGGGTTATATCTCTTTACCGGAAGCAGACGATTTTCAGTATCACGCATTTGTAGTGTATTGTGATGCAGATCGTTCCTGGGTTCACGATTCTTTTCTTGGAAAAATGGAACGAGGAGAGGGCGTCAAGTTATGCGTTCATCATAGAGATTTTGATGTTGGTGAATCCATTACCGAAAATATTGACAAATATTTAGAAAGATCATGGAAAGTTGTAATCATCATATCGAATGAATTTGCGAAAAGTGAATGCTGCCAATGGGAAGTTGATGTTGTTCAGGAAAGACATCGAAGACATGAACGAGATGTTGTCTTGCTTATTATGTTAGAAAGTATTGATTCTAAGCATATGACAAGTTGACTACGAACACTTTTAGATAGCGGAAGCCCTATACTGTACCAGAAAGGAATAGGCGAAGTCCTCTTTTGGAAGGCTGTTATCGAATCACTGAGAAAACCATTAGGAGACCCTCCAACGTCACTACTGTAACAGTGATAAGAAAACAAACTTTTTTCAGTTCATCAAATTTTATTCGTTTTTTTCTTCACTTTATTCAGATAACAAAAGGATAAAGTCTTACCTCAATTTACTTCAATCGAGAAACATATATATAACTCATAATTGTATAGTTCTATTTCGTAATATATATACCAATATTTCTTCTAAAGAACCTCATTTTTACACTACCAATATATTGTCCTGGATGAAAAATATACCATCGGACGTATCGTACCTCATGAAATATTTTTATATATACTTTCGTATCTTATAGAAAATTTATGTGTATGCCATATTGTACCTTATGGAAGATGTATATGTAACCATTTCGTGTCTAATAGAAGAGTATTTGATTGATAAACATGAATTTCGAATTTAGAAAAAATCATGAAATAGCAGTCAAAATCACTCGTCAATGATAAAAGTTAAAACACAACCAGAATTTGAAAGAGGTACAAAGTTTATGGCTTACATACATTGACCTTCATCTAGAAATGAGGGTCAGTTGAGCCCTTCGTTCGTGTCCTTTTTGTAGCATTCAACAAGCGTCTGCACATGTAGTATACATATCCAAATCGACTTCAATCTTATTTTATTGACAGAAGTTTGCTGCTTACAATAAAACTATAAAAGCAAGGCTTTAAATGGTAAAGTTGAAGTCATCTCCTCGACAAATTATCGGACGCTTTCATGATTTGGTTGACTGTCATGTATGACTACTGATGTTTTATTTGTAGTAGCCACAATATCTTCCTGTTCTCCTCTCCTCGATTACGAAATTATCGAATCGAAACTTCAAAAGTTGTCTTATTTGAAGGTGCATTGTTTTTTACAACAGCTGCTTTCTTTCTCTGTAGTAATTGCACATTTACTGTAATGAAGTGTTATATGTTTAAACTTTGTTCATGATTTTTTTAAGATGTTGATTTGGGCCTGGGTTTTCAATATTCTAACAAACTTAACATGTACTTGTTCACATGTTAGGTCTTTAATGGTTAGTTGTCTCATCGAAATTCATACCACATTTCCTTATTTTTATATAACTAAATACAAATAAATTTTCAATTGTTATACTTTTGCATTGTTGTCAGCCAGTATTACTTGTCTGGAGTTGGAATACTATTGAAGGCCTCAATGTGACGATGAGTTGAAGAACAGCAATAAAAGTACCGATCTTTTGCTTTGGTTTGGGCATATTTTGTGTTATGAATTGATACATTATATCTGTCTTTCCTTTTCCATTATTTCCGTATGTCTCTGTTGCTATGGAAGTTACTGTATTTGCAGAAACCACATAGATCTCTCAGACGTTAATGCCAAAGGGCCCTGTACATTTTCAACTTTTTGATTACAATAACACATCATTTAATTACAAATAAACCCTTGGAAATGGAAATAGGGAGTGTGTCAAGGAGACAACAACCCTTCCAAAGAAACATAAATAGCCCAAGGCCATAAATGGGTCTTATAGTCTGGGATAAAATACTGCAACTGAAGGAGTGCTTCAGCTGGCCCCTAAACAATAATGTATACTAGTTCAGCAAAATGGATATCACATGCATTCCGGGAAATGTTTTGATGAGTTAACTAAATCAACCAAAACCATGAATAAGTGCAGTAAATTCATGAATCATTGAAATGTTTTTTATTGCAAAAATTGAGATAGAATAGAAGTCACAAACATAAAAACTTGCATTCTTTAAAAATCTTAAACCAGTGTTTGTATGCAGAATTTCCTCACATTGTTATCAGTTGGTCAACCATTGCGATAATAAATGCATGTAAAAGTTTAATATTCCTGTTTCAATTATAGCGAAAATAAAACTGCCGCGAAACATTTTCATGTTTACAGTAATCAATCAATGTCATACTAGTATTGCAATTTCTATTTTGGTTTGTGAGTGAAGAATTACCCAAAATCCTTTAGATTCTGAAACAGCAAATTTATAAATTCATTGTTCCAGGATTATAGTAGTGATCTGCTTATGTTGTATTTTTTGTTTGTTTTTTTTAAGAAATCAAGACTCCTATTACACCTATGGTCAAAGGCCATGCCAAATTTATCTATAACAATGATTCACAGAACACAATATAAAATTAACAATTTATTTCACTGTCATGTCAGTATCTGCAGCCTTGGTTCTGGTGGCGGTGGGTTATGCATTTGTTTATCCAGTGCCTGATATTCATTAGAGTATTTAGAGATTCAAAGCTCTGGTTAAAGTCAGATATCTCCATTCCTTCTATATGTATATAATGATGGACGTGAGCCTGGAAAAAAGTACAAATAAATAAAGAAGTATCCATGGCTTTAATATCAAATATCAAGATGTGTATGATTGACAATGACTGAACTATTCAACAGATACCAATAATGATGATGTAAGGAACTATAAGTCACAGTACAGCCTTCAACAATAAGCAAAACAAACCGTATTAAAAGGTCTCTAACATGACTAAATGTGAAACAACTCAAACAAGAAAAAAAAATCTATTAATCTCTTATATATTCTACGACCAAATAAGTATTGTTCAAAGTCTATCAAAATTTTAAAAGAAGAAACAGCAAGGTCAATTAGTATAAAGTGTTTGTCAGCGACATATATTTAACAAATATTTTACAAGGCAGACAATAATATGGAATTCCAGAATAGTTTATTACTATTTTTACATATTACAAAAACTGAAGAGGACTTGCTTCACTTTACCTTTACCCGAATTTATCGATTATTTATTTTTATTTGAAAACTGAGGATTTACGTTTTTCTGTTTTTTGTCATTTGTTTATTATTAAAATATAAAAGTAATATACTTGAAGATTTTCAGGCATCAATAAGAAATTTGATGGTTCCAAATCAAGCTTATATGTTATGCCTCAGCAGAGCCAATAAACATATATTTACAACTACCATCTACAAAATTGATGTCTGCAAATCTTCAAAAATAAATACTGTTATTGTAATTCCAATGCAAGAGGAAGAAAATTTAAATCATATAAATATATATATATAATGTCTGAGCTTCCACTAATCATTTCAGACAATTAACCATGTAGAATTGATGGCATGATAATTGTATCAATATCCAATCACAACGAAAATTTTCAAAAACTGCTGCTTGAAAATTATAATTTCTTGTTTTCTTTTCTACACAACTAAGATGGTATTGTAAATCAGAAATTATTGTGTTCATTTATTATTGCGATTTATGAAGAATGGACAAAAATGCAAGATCAATTATTGCAATTTCTGGGAAACATGCATGCAGATATATGTATCAGATATTAGCATATTAGATTGTGAGTTCTTGATATTAATATCAGTCACATTGTTCCCAATAATAAACCCTAACAATAATTTCTGAGTATACAGTATCATTCTACTGCACATTATATCAACAAAATACTTACTTTACGTTTATATAATTTAACAAATCGATCCCTGAGGTCAGTAAAGGAATGTTGTATACATGTATTATTAGCTAATGTCAGTTATGAATAAGATTCACCGACAAGTGGCACTGCACAGAGTCCTGTCTTCCAACCTTCTTGGTTCCAGTTGAAAAACTTTAAGTTTGGTTTAAGTCTGAAAATACATGAATTGTGTCAATATATTGTTTCAATTACTGAAATTATTGCGTTTATTATTTCAATTTTTGAAAATGGACACATGTGAGATCAATCATTGCAATTTCAGGAATAACTGCATACAGATATGTTTATATATCAGATATCAAAATGTGAGTTCTTATTTTTGCGATACTCACCAAGTCGCATTATTAACAATAATAAAAACCTGGCAATGATTTCTGAATTTACAGTACTGTATACTTCCAGTTTTGTGTGACATGAACTTAATTGCTTCTTAGAAATCAAATGTATAATTTTTGAACTTACTGTTTCAATTTTGTATTTCTAATTTTTATTATGGATTATGTTTACATCATATCTTATATGTTATAGCTAGATTTAAATTAACCAATCAGATTTAACTAATATAAGTATATGTAAGAAAATTATAATCCCTTTCTCCATGATTAAGTATGAGTGTTAACGTTATCCCAAAGTTACAGTATTATTACTCTTAGCCTAGTATTCCTAAATCTGTGTATCTACATCTAGTAATTCTGTCACTATCAAGTTATGTAGTTATATAATGTTGGATTATTAGATCTCATATGATTTCACAACTTTGTATTTTTTTTAACTGTTGTTTTCTGCTGCCCTCTCTTCATGTGTCATATTTTATGATTGGCTATATTTTAGATTATGCCACTCCGTTGAGTTTGTTATGATATTTCTGCACTTGGTAGAGAGTTGAGAAATATGGTATTGCACTATATACATTTTGTAAATAAAAGCAGTGAAATCTTTTTGTATTATGTTTTTTTTTTTAATTTAGACAAACATTTTTTCTCAGTGATCTGCAAAAGATGTGTTCTTTCGATTTCTTCAAACATGGTCCTCTTTTTTTTCAAGATTTCATAATAGCAGATTCAGAGGATATCAAGAAAATTTTCATAATTGAATATGAACCATTGAATAATTGAGATCAAACAACCTGTCAGGGAAAGGATAAATGAGTGAATAATTGGAGAAAGCCTGTTTAAGCTTTTACAAAATTAATTAATTCAATATCATTATCAGTACCAAATGTATTGCAACAGATGCACATTTTGACAAAAATGTATCTTCAGGGATATATCGATGTTAGAGGCCATGATACAGAATTCAAGTTTGAATGTTTTCAAGACTTTTTTTGGTACTGATTTATCTTTTTTTTTTTTGGCCAGTGCAGAATATTTTGTTTAAATTACAAATAAAATGAAATTCACAACAAAGTAACAATAAGAAGTCAACATATCTACATGCTCTACTTTTCATCAACTAATTGAAATGTACCATTCTATCTTGTATGCTTTAGACAATAAATTTTATACAAGTACAACTTTTGCTGATGTAAGTAAGGCATTCGATCGAGTCTAGGTAAGGGGCCTACTTCTTAAGTTAGAAAGATATGGTATAAAAGGCAAGCTGTTATTATGGCTTGGAAGTTACTTAACAAATAGAACTCAGAGGGTAGTTTTAAAAGAGGCGACTTCCGAATTAGGTAATCTTAAAGCTGGTGTTCCACAGGGTTCGGTACTGCGCCCCCTTTTATTTCTAATATTCATTAATGACGTTGCAGATGATATGATTGGATTAAGAAGAATGATTACAGACGATACAACTATTGGACATACTGCTCCAGATGAAATTACTCTTCAATCCATAACAAATATCGATTTACAAAATATTAATTCCTGGGCAAATGATTGGCTTGTTAAATTCTATCCCAATGTTAATATCATGTTGTTTAGTATCAAAAATTTTAAAAAATAACTTGATTTTTGATTTTGGCGGAGTTCAGGTAGATACAGTTACTAGTCACAAACATTTAGGTTTATTTTTCAGCAGTGACTGTAGTGGACCAAGCATATTGATTATTTAATAGAAAAACAATTAAATGTTCTAAGACGTTTGAAATTCCGACTAAAAAGGGAATATTTAGAAAAGATATATTTAACTTTTATTAGGCCCGTTTTAGAATATTCTTCTGAAGTTTGTGATAATTGAGGACAGTTGAATTCTGAAAAATTAGAAAAATTACGACTGGAAGCAGAACTTATTGCCACTGGTCTAACAAGCTATGCTAGCACTCAATCACTTTATTCAGAGACGGGATGGGAACATTTAAAGATTAGACGGGAAGTTAAAAAAATAACTCTATTTTACAAAATTATGAAAGAGGACGCTCTAGAATACTTATTAGATTTAATACCTCCTACCGTTGCAGAAACAAACAATTACAATCTATGAAGTAGTCAAAATATATAACAAATCTCCAGCAGACTGTCCCTATATCAAGAATCATTTATTCCATCTAGTATCAAACTGTGGAATTAGCTCGATTTAAGTATAAGCAATAAACTCTCTTTAAATATGTTTAAATTAAAAATTAAACAGAAATATTACAAAAACAAATCACCCCCTACATATTTCACAATTGGCGATAGATATTTTAATGTTTTGCACGCAAGATTAAGAAATAAATGCAGTGCCCTTAACATGGATCTGTATCACGCAAATATTAAACCCAACGCAATGTGCCAAAGTGGTTATTTATATGAAAATACTCAACATTATTTCCTCTCGTATAAAAATTATACAGCTCAAAGGAATACCTTATTTTTTGAACTCAGAAAAGAAAATATACCTACTGATTTGGAAACTTTAATGTACGGTAAAGAGATATAAGAAGATGTGGTATGAGTGCCAATGAGACAACTCTCCATCCAAGTCAAAATTTATAAAAGTAAACCATTATAGGTCACAGTACGGTCTTCAACACGGAGCCTTGGCTCACACCGAACAGTAAGCTATAAAGGGCCCCAAAAAATTACTAGTGTAAAACCATTCAAACGGGAAAACCAACGGTCTAATCTATATAAAAAACGAGAAACGAGAAACACGTATGAGCCACATTAACAAACGACAACTACTGAACATCAGATTCCTGACTTAGGACAGGTGCAAACAAATGCAGCGGGTTTAAACGTTTTAATGGTACCAAACCTTCACCCTTTTTCCGAAACAATAGTGTAACATCACAACATAGAAAGACACACTATAAGATATCAACTGAAATAGCTTAACTCAATCAAAGGACATATTAACACCATTGAACATACACTGAACAAATAAATTTGACCTATGACACAATGTAAATACAAAATAAATAAACTAAGGGAAGAATAAAAAAAGTAACATATTATATCGGTAAGAAATGTTAAACAATTAAAGAAAAGAAATATGCTCGAACAAAAAAACCATCCATTTGCAATAACTTTAAACACAGGTAAATGAAAATAATTTTGTTGTTAAGTATACGTGTACAGTACCAATAGAGAAAGGAAATAGTTTTACAAAATAAATAATTTAGAATACAAAATAAAGGTAAAGATATGTTTAATATGGACATAAACACGTTAATTTTCACAAAAGTGCAGAATTATATCAAAGAGACCAATCGCTTTTCAAAGTGTATAGACATTATGGTCAACTATATAAACATTTATAGTGTAATAACTTTTTGTTGACCTCGAATGAAATTGTTCAATTTTTCCAAAACATGGATCATCCATTTGATTTTATGTATAATATCATATCAGTTGACAACAACAATCTAATTTAGTTGCTTTAAAATAAAACTTACCTTTAGAGTGAATATTTATTCCTAGATTAAAACAGTCTACTAGGTCTATCATAAATAAATTTACGGTCAACTCGACTTTTAGAAATCGATGAGCCATGTCGTTTAAATTCTTGTTCATTTCATGTCTCCATATTAATCTTGTTAATGATGTTAATATTATGTATTTTATTTTGTTCGGTTATTTATTATTTGTATGTAATGGAGAAGACGTTCTAAGTTGCAAACCTTGTGCCTGATCCTATTGTCAATGTTTTGGACAATAAAATATGTTTAAACTAAACTATCAACATATGACTAGTAAAATGTTATAATAATCCGCCGTTTCAGAATCTAATACATTCTGGGTATTATTTCAAAAGTGTACACCAAAACGTATTGATTGGCTATGAACGTTCTAAACAATTGAAATTCAACCAATGACATTACGTTATTTACATTTGGGGGAACAAACAATGAAATTACCCACAATCCTTTAGTTCTGAAACGGTGAATTGCCATCGTATAAATGTGGTACCTTTCAATATTTCTCCTAACATCTGAGATCTCTACATTTCCCCGTACCATCAAGGCACATGCTAAGTACAGGCGGTGTTTAGGATCTGCCCGCAGTAATTGACGATCTCTTGAAAATGCATCTGAGAACATTTGATCTAATCTACAAAATAAAAAAATACATTTTTTTTTATCTAAAATTAAAAGTAAAAATTTAATTTCAAATTACTAAAGTTATTTCACTTTTTTTTTCATGTCTTGTAAACCTTATTTTTTTATTATTAAAAATTTTGTTATTAATACATAATTTATTGCAGCTAAATGTAGGTGTTTCTATATACATTATTGCTTTTAATTATTATTTCACTTAAGGATGTACACCTCTAAGGAGCCAACAATTTCTAGAATTAAACTTTTATTCTTAACCTGATTTTTGGATTTATATGATTGTAAAAAATAATTGGTAAAGAAAAAATCATATGGTGGTGCACTTTTTTTTTTGCTACGGCCATTTTTCAAGTACCCAATTTTGATTATTTCCCCATTTTTCATAAATTTTTACACATTTTTGGGCTATCATCATGAAAAAAAACTATAGGTAAGTGTTAATATAAGAAAGTTTTATAAAATGTTGTTGCTTTTTCGTGTCAAATTTGCCATGCTGTCAAGTTTGTAAATTTGGGATTTTCCCTTTTTTTTTAGAACAAAAAGCATATTATTTCAACTTCTTTGTTATAAATGATTGAAAAAAAAACATATTTAAGAAATTTGAAAAGAAAAAAAAAAAAACTGATATGGGATATACATATTTCTGGTGAAATCAATTCTTATACCCCTCACCCATTTTCTAAACATTTTGGCTAATGAGACTGACTTGATTGGTTATAAAATTTGAAAATGTTATTACTCAAAAACTACTTATTGTAAATACACAATTTTTTCACAGAGTTAAGTTTGATGATAATATTTTTTAAATTCATTGATAATTTTCACTTGTATCACATAATTCCATACCGAGATTTCAACGAGACTGAAACGTCAGAAAAATACATTCTTAATATATATTCATAATCAATTGAACAAGAAAGTTAACCACTCACTGTACAGACTGTATTAATCAAGTACTAGATATATTAAAATGATAATGGATTTTTCAAAAAAATTCTGTTGATTATTTATTCATATCTTCATATGAGCTGTGACGGATAGAAAGCTACCTCATGCAAGTGCACATATACATGTACATGTATAAGACTGATTGATTTTGGAACATTCAAATACAAAATGAAAGATGAATTTTGGTCTGTCTTACAATTGAAGAGTTTTTGAAAGAACTCAATTTTCTAAACAGTTAAAGACTTTGCATAGAGATGTTTTTCAACCCGAAATAGGAAACAGATATATCTATATTCATTTGCATAAGGTTGATTTCTATCCGACATATCTAAATATATACTACTTACTTTCTGGGTGGCAAGTGGACATCTGCGGATGTGTAAAGGGGACTCTGACTTGCCACTAAATAATGTAACTTTGGCAATGGCACTAACTTCATGGTGATTTCATTCAAGTCTACATTCAATGAACCTTCAAATCTTGCAGAACTAAAAAAAAAAAAAGAACTGATGTACTTTCTAGTTTAACTGTATAAAAGGATTGATTAATTGTTGATTGCTTTACGCCCCATCAGCACAAAAGGGCTATATCGTTGCGAGTGTAAAATGGTGTATACCCTTTACCAATAGATCATATGTGTAAACAAATATAATATATATAGATATATAGATATTTAACAAATACATTTCAATAGTTCAAACCAAGGCTTCCAAAACAGTCATAGTTGCCGGACAAATATAAATTTATCGGACATTGTCCAACTGGGCCAAGCATGAAACGGACATCCTACATGGGTTAGCCATTTCAACATTTATGTGATTCAGAAAAATCAACCATTTTGACTTGACCATGTGCCTTAAACACAAACACTTTTCCGGTCATAAAAGTGACAGTACTCTATAAACAAGCCCTACTATAATCCCCTCTCATTACAATCAATATTGGCATTAATAGGGTCTCAAATCGTAAGAAAAAATATATATAATCTGCTTAAATTTTGGTAATGACCTTTTTATGAGGTATAGGAATCTTCTATGAAAAGAAAATTGGGTGATATGGCGCAAAATATTTTACCCTGTATCGCAGGAAAAAAACCAAGAAGTCCGAACATCTGACAAAAATTCATAAACCTCACCTGAGTACATCCTTAATATGACTATGTTGAGCTGTTACTACTAAAGACAAATAGGCCATAAAAGTATGTGCAATCTCGAAGACTTATATTAAATTGGTTATGATTGGGAAATAAAATTCTACGAGGTAGCTGAAAAATAATGCTTCTTCCTAATATTAATAGAAAAAAAAAAAATTAAACAAATGTCACTTTGTCCTAATAAACACGAAAAAACATTACATCGAAACGCTATACCTGTCCATTAAAAAAAATGGAACAACCAACTCTGGTCATTTGAAAAACATTTAAATAGGAGAAAAAAAAGATATAAGTGTATGTTCACTTGTTTTTGTTAATATGTCTTTCGAATGATTTAAGCCATTTCAATTGATATTCTATAGTGTGTCTTTCTATGTTGTGATGTTACACTATTGTTTCAGGTAGGGTGAAGGTTGGCGCCTATTAAACCGTTTAAACCCGCTGCATTTGTTTGCACCTGTCCTAAGCCAGGAACCTGATGTTCAGTGGTTGTCGTTTGTTGATGTGGTTCATAAGTGCTTCTCGTTTCTCGTTTTTTATTTAGATTAGACCTTTGGTTTTCCTGTTTGAATGGTTTTACACTAGTGATTTTTGGGGCCCTTTATAGCTTACTGTTCGGTGTGAGCCAAGGCTCCGTGTTGAAGGCCGTACTTTGACTTATAATAGTTTACTTTTACAAATTGTGACTTGGATGGAGAGTTGTCTCATTGGCACTCATACCACATCTTCTTTCTATCTATTAAGAAAAATTACTTCAAAGAAAATTAGTACGGAAAAGAGCGGTACGTGATCATATCCGTCGTGGATTTCAAACAATGATACAGGTAGGATGTACGATGTGTTCAATCTCTAAATCTTCCCGAGTATGTTATCGAAAGCTACGACTAATAATAGTGAACATATCTAATCAGTAATTATGCCATGAGTTTGTTTGCATGATTGTTTTGTTTTCTGAAATTTAATTTTATGAAAGTCCACTCGTAATATCACACTGGTCATTGTATTATGGCATCCATATATTTTTTATTCCCAATACGTTAAAGGAATGTGCGGTGTGTTTCAAATATTTATATTTCAACAGATAATATCTTTTCAATTGTATTTTTAAACGCAGTGTATAGTAAGAAGTATACTAAATGTGCATATTTACCCGAACCGTTTAAAAGTCAATAGTTTCGTTTGAATTGTTTGAGCTTTTGATTTTGACAATTGACAAGGGACTTTCCGTTTTGAATTTCCCTTGCATTGGAGTTCGGTATTTCTGTTATTTTTCTTTTTCTATTTCTATTCAACAATAAAATATGCGTTATTTTCTTTCTTAATCTAAGCTTTGTGTCAGGTATGTTATTGAGATTCTATATATCTGATGCTAAGCTATGTGGTATATATGCTGTGAACAAATTGTAATGTGTACAAATTATAAATTCCCTATGTATGCAAAGAACATCTAAGTGTATAGATGTCTATTTCAAGTGACTAGACTTTTCGTGAGACAATTGAGACTTCTGTTGTAAGGAAAATCATTTACATACATGGGGTGTTTAAATACGCAGTCACGTCTACTATGAACATTGAAACTAAATCCAGTGTGGTTGGGGAATAACTCGCTAGTGAAAGGGCCTCTGTCGATTATCAGTGGTTGGGGAATTACTCGCTAGTGAAAGTGCCTCTGTAGATTATCTGTTTGAAGAATCTATTTGTTATTGTTACCGATTCCGTCACATGTTCCAAGGGTAGTCAACGTTATCCAGCAGATATTCATTGTTTACTGTAAACCGACTAATTTTCGCGAGCGATTTATTTTTTAAGTAGAAAAATAACGCGAATACAAATTGTCACGAATAAGTAAAACTTGGATCTTTCCTTATTCATCTACATCAAGAAAATTTGAAAATCGCAAAACGAATCGCCGAAGTGGGCTAGAAAGGGCTAAACGCGAAATAAAGTATCCGCAAAAATAAGTTGGTTTATTGTATTTGTCAACAACATTAATCCGTAAATTCGCCACTGGACATTTTATTTGAGTGTCCAGCAATCAATCAATCAATCATTCCATCAGAGATTATTTTTGTATATATTAAGGCGACAGTAGTTTACCTATATATGTAAATCTCGCAAATAGACAAGGAAGACACAAATCAAGATAACAAACAGACGGAAGGAATCACATAAATTCCAAGCGAAACGAGACCACGTGCGTTTACCCGCCATGCGAATTCACACTCAGTAGAAATGTCTAGTGACAGAATATGCCAATACTAAACTCCCAATCGGCACACCTCGGCAGATCTAACTATCATGTAGGGTAGCGGAATCTGCCGAGGTTTGCCGAGTGAATAAATTAGATGCGTACTTCTACTGTTTCTGGTATCTTCATCAGGTAGGCTAAATTTCAAATTGTTGACAGGTAACCTTTTTTTGAATTCAAAATGTCAAATAATTCACAGTAAAACTAAACATATGTGGATGATTGATTGACAGTTGGTGGTTTCATTTTCAACACATTGGCTTTATATTGGAGGTCGTTTTTTTTAGACACATGTGGACAAAGCATCCACCCTAAATAAAAGTATGCAATGCAAATGCATTGATAAACAATTTGATAAACAATACATTAAAAGAAAATGAATAGATATAGAATTTAAAAGAATTATGACAACAAGTAATGCATGTTTGTTTAATTGTCTTCTTAACTGTTTTTTTTTACACAGACTTCCATGTGTTTCAAGTACCATTTGTAGGTCTTTGATATTTTTTTTTTCAAAACTGAACAACATCATAGCTTTTAAGAATACAACTAGGACAGAAGGTCATATTTAATATTATGGAGAAGGTCAGTTTGGAATATGTACCATTCTTTTTGTGTACTACATTCCCACTCCCTCAGACAAAGTTGAACTTAGATACATTCGGCTATTATTTCTAGATCCCTTTTGGTCATATTGCTCTTCATGTATTTTGGTACATATTCATCTGTGTGTTTTAAATAGTTGGTTTTGAGCATTCCCGATGAAGATAAATCGAGAAATCACTTCCGACGCATGTATTAGTAATTCATAAAGTGTTATAATATTTCTTTTTTCTCCTGCACAATCATATTTTTATATAATTGTTAAAATCAATTAAATATTGAAATTTGTTGTTTTCCAACAACATGTATGATAAAAAAAAACAATAAGAAAACAATCGTTGTGTTTTTTTAACTTGCAATTTGAGCCATTGTTAACGCTTTAAAAATTAAAAAGACACTCTTCTTAAGACAAATTATAATAATCATAGTAAATATTATTCCTAATTTTTTTCCTTGAAAGTAGATCAAAATCAAATTTCTAATAGAAATACAACTAGTCCAGAAACACCTTTCTTAACTGGTCATTAAAAGATTTATGTACCAGTCGTTTTTCCTCTGTACCCTTGCATAACCGTTTTTAAATATCATCGCAATTTTTGAATATGTAAATATTGATCAAAATCTATAAAACCAATTTCCCCCATTTTCATCAAAGACAATTGACAGATGGCAAATTCCCAGGTCACTGTCAAGCAAATCATCTTAATTAAAATTTTAACCGGAATGATTGATATCTGTAAATGTATAAAAGCTTTAAGTAATAATTCGTAAAATATAAAATACCAATATTTCCCGAAGCTTTATTCGTGTAAACCTTCTTGATAAAGTCCGTCTATGTTGAGTGTTAAATCATTTCCAGATTTAGATATTAATTATTGTCTATTTTTCTACGGGCTATACCTATATGTAGCTCTGTCAAAACCCTATATCAGTATGAATTGAAAAAACGAAAGGGACAAATCGTAGCCAATCTATGTTAATCATCTTTAACATATACAAGTATATATTCGATATTTGTTAAAATGTGGTTAAAACTGTTAACAGACAGGTTGTACTTAGTACCTTCATAGAGGTGTATGTAAGTGCGAACGTCTCTTCGAACATATATAAATGTATTACTCGTAATATAGACATCAATCATATTTTGTCAGGTTTATACAGCGGAAGAGTTTACTTATAAAGATGATAGTGGACAAAATGTGGTTTTCATTCGTATTTTTATTTAATTTATACTGTGTTCTGGGACATTTGTTCACGTGCACTGAAAATTTTCAGGAATCTAAAAAGACTGCCGTTCAATTGATGAAAAATATGGATAAATACATTAGACAAGAGGAATTAAAGATTGAAGTATTAAAAAGGTAATTATTGTGATAATTGAAAGACACCATTAGATCATATTTTTTTTTTCTGCAAAAACATATTTTTCTTCATGACATATTTTTGATATATTATTAATCCCTGTTAAAAAAGAATTTGTTTAACGAAGATTTACGCAATTATAGGTTACCATGTGGCTTTCAACAATACAAAAAAAATCATTTCATATAGTGAGTTATAAACTGCCCCGACGTGAAAAATGTAAAACAAAAACGAGAAAACTAATGAACTAATTATAACAAACTTGTTCAAAATGATCATTTTGGTATTTATTTTAAGAAAAATGATCCCGCTTACAAACCAGCATAACAGACATAGCTAAAAATAGAACATATAAATATAAATTGGTAAAATGCAAGGTTTGTCTATTATCTTGAAAACCTCTGCAGAAACAGAAATCTGATAGAACAAATGTTCAGAATGCTGAGATCAACCTTCTGTCTGATTACATCAAAACTGTCAGACGTCTTGTTCCAAGATTACTGATTACATCAAACTGTCAGACATCTTGTTCCCCATTTAAGACTATTTTTATCATTGTTTCTCATTTTTGCCCATTTATCTTGAAAACTGTAACAGACAGAGAGAAACTAAATATTGGAGAATGATCAGCAAGAGCTATGCATATGCAAAAGCACATTGCTCTTATGTTTTTTTTTTAAAGTTATAGCGTAATTATTCTTGAGATAACTTCTCCGGTGTGTGCTACATCAGTCTCTCAATTTAAGGCCAGTTTGTGTATTAAAATTCGAGTACGTCCTATTCTTGGCCTCCATTGCTTTTTCGTTACATTTGTAATTTTCAAAAAATTATTGGAAAAAATTGGAAGGAGGGGGGGGGGGGGGGGGGGGGGGTTGCGTGGTCAATATGCCGTTATTTACACATCAGACCATACTGGTTACAGGAACTTTGGATACACCTAACCAGGTACTTTACATCTTAGTAACAGGCAATATATGCCCTAATTTTTATAATTCATTCATACATTTTTGTATCATTCAAAACTATCAGTCAAGAGGTGTTCTACAAGGATTGACAGTTCTTCCCCTTTCGTTTGATACCTAAATAACCAAAATATATTCTACATAGTTTGATATTTACACCTATGCATAGGAACTATTGTGTTGTTAAATATGTAATAGTTTCCAGTATGTTCTTTTTTACCGTGCCCGAGTTTGTGGGATACATCTTACATATTTGCCCTATACTAGTACATAAGTTGTTTCCTGTCAAGATATCTAACATATATTTCGATGTGCCCCGTGGTTGTTTTAATGTTTGTTTTGTTTTTTGCACGCTTCATTGTGATTATCGGGTTAAATTATGACAGTACATATTTGATTTCTTTGACAGATTTATTTTATTAATATTACTCCATGGCTTTGTTCTTCAATTCACAGTTGCATGTGGCTTTATCGTTAGCATGCAAAGTATCCCGCTTAAACCGGTGCTAGAGGCCGTCGTAAACTTGCAGTGAGGTGAGAGTTTGGGACCGTGTTGAAGGCCGCGCTGTGATTTTGAGATGAAAAACAGCAAAAACGGCGATGTTCCTATGCTTTTTGTGTGTTTTGCTGTGCACATACTGATTTTTGGTCATGGATGGATGCCCCATATCCTTTCTTTTCCCTTAAGATCTACAAAAAAGTAAATGGCCGGAATCGTCAGACGCTCCCAAATGGCAATGTTTACTATTTGTTTTCTTCAATTTTGACTTTCATCTTGGAAAATATAATGAATGGAGAAAAACTTAAAAAAGCAGTATTATCAAAGAGACACAATCTATAAATATGTCTCATATCTGAAATCGTCAGAACGACTTCTCATATCCATAGATGTAATTACCCTGGAATGCAAATCCTTACATTTTTTGTGTGTGTGTTTAGCTATATAATTCAAACTACAATATACAGATATAAACTTTAAGACCGTATCTAGAAATAGGTAAAAAATAGCCAAACTTGTCAGTTGACTTATAGGCAAAACTATATAAGATAAAAAGAAACTGTAAACTGTAAAAAAAAAACCAACCCACTGTTATCAAATTGGTCAACAAAACAAAAATTGAAATTCAGCTTTTAAATGAGTTACTGCCCTTGAATGATGATCATAACCCATTTTTGAGCTTTTTGAAGAAAAAAACAAACTATAATGGTAGATAGAGAAAAACTAAACTGAAAAATGATCAGCAATACAAGATCAGCGATACTAGATCTACAACAAAAAAGATATTAGTCATGTATATTCTAGTCTGCAATGCTGAAGAGTGACCGGTGTTAAAGATGCCAGGGGCGTAGCTAGGCCAAAATGATGTGTACTCAAAGCCGGGGAAGGAAGTCATACGGCGATGGGTCTGGGGGCCGCTCAAGGCCCCTCAGACGCTCTGGGGTAAATGGTGCAAAATCCTGCATTCTCGCGATTTCCTGGGACTTAAAATAACCCCACAGAAATCTTATGTTCATGAGTAACAAATCAACTTTTGAAAATAATTAAATTTGAAAAAAAAATATTGATTAGAGAAAAACAAACTTCTAATGTGTAGTGGGTTGATCTTGATTAGATATTAAGCACAATTAAAATATATAGTGCCACCGCCATATATTTTAATTATTACCTAATCAGTCTCAATCCACTATATATTAGAAAATCCAAATTTCTAAGCCAACACCGTGCAACTTAAAGGGTAATTTTTTTATTGAGAAAATACATAATTTGAATAAATAGAATCACATTTCTCTATGTTTTATTTTATAAGTGAACAAGCAGTCTTTCTTTCAGCTTTTAATTCTCAAAGTTAATTCTGAAAATCAAGGACCATTTCCTTTCCTTTCTAATATTAAAGATGTCCAAAACCGTTTCTGCTGAAATTTGTTTTTCACGATATATGTTCAACTGACCAAGCCCAGATAAAAACGATCGGTTTTCATTGTATTTCTCAAGACTTCTCATGGTACTGAAAGACCGTTCTGCCGTTGCCGTCGAGACCGGCATACATGCAAATACGTTAAGTATGTATGTTAAAGATTCCCGGGTATAAATCCTTGTTTATAACATCATACATCATAGGTTGGACACCGTTAACTGGCCATTATACATATATTCATAAATATGTTTGAAGTCCCGAAATATACAGGAAAAGCATAAAATTATTTCCGATTTCTTTTTATTAACTTCCAAAACGAGAGTCTTTAATTTTTACCAAGCAGGGAAAACAAGCACTTTAGATCTTGAAGCATGGAAAATAAGCACATTTAATCTCGAGGCACGCCACGTATAATTAAATTGGGAATACACGTTGAACGAGGCACCCGTCTTGCACGACCGAACGTAAAATAATAAAGTAAAAACACGTTGATCGTGAAATTAAAAAAAAACAGAGAAGACGTTGCACGAAAATTACCCTAAACAATTCCCGTTAAACTTAAATTTGACTGGACTGTTTAAAAAATCTCTTATCATCACGTATGTAAGACTAAACATACCTCACAGGAAAATCATAAGAATAAATCGTTGCCCATGGTCTCTTTAGAACGGCATCATTTGAAATCTTCAGAAAAGATGTCAGGGTAAGGAGGCATAGTGGACGTAACAATTGTGTTCTGACACCTCGAGGACTCAGCTATTTTAATTGTTTGAATCAACAACACAATCACGATGCTGCTTCCGTATAAATGAAAACAGTAGACTAGTTTCCGGAACGGAATATAGCTACAAATTGACTATTAACATATTTGTGTAATACTTTTTAATTTGTTTTATAACTTTAGTTTTATTCTTACCAGATTTACCATATTTTTATTTTTGTCAAATTTTCGATGTGTACGCAACTGCGTTTTTGCGTACGGGTTGCTACGCGCCTGGATGCACATAGATGAAGGTGAGCTACACAGGCATGTTAGAGTCTCTTGTTATAATCTTTATTCGTCAGACCTCATTTTGACAAAAGTGCCTCTATAGTATATATTACTGAAAAACTTCTGTATAGTCGTCACAATGGCCAAATTAAGATCGACATTATATATAAGGACCAAGTCTATTTCGCCGTTTTTTGTCTTTGTCTGTATAATAGAAAAAAACCAAAGAATATGGGGTATACATCCATAACACAAAATCAGTACATGCACAGCAAAAAAAAAAAAAAAAAAAAAACAGACACAAAGCAAAGGAACAGCTCTTTTATTGCTGTTCTTCATCTCAAAGATACAGTGAGACCTTCTACACGAAACAAAAAACCTCTCATCCCACTGCAAGTTTAAGACGGCCCCTAGCACCTGTTCGAGCGGAATCCTTTACAAAATGATTCGGATAGACTTTGTTAGATGTATCACTACCAAATGGGACCCGGTAAACAAATCATACTGGAAAGTAGTACATATCTTAAACACGCGTAGGTGTAAAAAAAAAAATTGTAGAGTTTATTTTAGTTATTAAGGCATCAAATGAAAGGTGAAGGACCGGTGATCCTTGTAGAACACGTATTGACGTATAATTTTGAAAAATACCAAAATGTATGAAAGAATTTTAAAATTGAGGGCATATATTACCTGTTTCTCAGATATGAAGTCCCTGGTTTGGCTAATCCAAAGTTCCGATAACCAGTACGGTCCGGTGTATAAAAAACGGTATGTTGATCGCGCCTCCTCAAATGTTTGGAAGTGAGAAATTTGACGTGGATAGGATAGATGGCCAATAATAGGTAACGCTATATATGTTTACTTATTTTTAAGGAGTCGGGTGTTGGAGGTTAATGTATACTGTTGTACTGTGCCCTGTTCTAGATTTTAAGCCTTATTCAATTTCCTTTAGCGTACACCAACTTGTGCAATCTCATCATCCCTGAAGGCTTACTTTCATTTATGTGACAAAGGAACCTGTCGGATGAAGGGTTATTTTAAAGATTATTACAACCTCTAAACTGAGGTAAAAAAGAAAACAAAATGATATGACCTTACGTTTACTGTTTGATTTATTAATAGAACTTATTTTTTTTTGCTTTCAGAATATCAAAAAGCGTTAAAAATCAGCTGACAGAGGAGTTAACTGGAACAAAACCAGTACCTCCTAATCCTGTTTCTATGTACCTGTATGCAAAAACTATCAGTGACGCATCGTATTCTATTGGTAAAATATACAACAACCTCAAAGATGATAAACAACTAAAGGGTAAGGACACTCCCAAACTTTGTCTCTGTGTTCTTTCATTTGCTTTAGTTAATTTGATAGTGTTCATCTCAGGTCGTATTTCATATAATTTACGACAGTCCCGCAAAATTTAAAGTCAATGTCTTACGCTTGACTTCCCGTCTAACACAGTATCATTTGAGCAACAAAACTAACACCCTCATTTGTTTTGAAAAGTTTGTTTTGCAGAAGGATCTATTTAAGAGGGTAACTGAATGTGAAAAAGTAAACACAAATAGATATGCAATTATATTATTATTAATGTACTTACTTTTACGTTTTGCTGTAACATTTATAATGCTGTATTCAAATTTGTCCATTTTTTTTTGATTGCGTGCAAAGTCAATATTTGTTTCTCATGAAAAATAAGCGGTCTCCCACTAAGTCTTTACATGTGTGAGTTGAACGTTAGTCCTCAGAAAGTACTGACTACTGAGCTGATAATACCCCCGGGAACTGATAGTATTTTATAAGATGAAACAGTTTTTTGTATTTATTTTCAGAGTTGCAAGCGACTTTTAACTCTAAGTTACCCTCGGAAGTAGATCTGCAAGGCGTTCTTACATCGTTCGTCAGGCTTCAGAACACATATAATGTTACACCTGGAGAGATGGCAAGTGGAGATGTACTAGGAATAAAAGTTCCAATTTTAAGTGGTAGGGATTTTAACACAGAAAACAAGAACAAAAGGGAAATATATAACTGAAATTTCAATAGTTAATGAATTCTAGTCTTAAACGGTCATTTTGATCTTAACATCATCTGAAAAGTCTGAATATTAATTATTCAGTCGTGTTTAGCCTTTTGATCCATATTCAAACTTATCAACTGCGGTATATTAGAAACTGTTCAGAAAATTTGCTTGCAGTTCATTCACTACTGCTTTTTGTAGCAGCTTTTAAGACAATTCAGTATGATGTTGTTGTGAACGGGTAAAATGCAGCTACTGAACAGTCTAAACATAGACTGAAAAATTCTTATTTAACTGCAAGCTAAATGTCTGACCAGCCATGGATTTACCGCAATGGACAAGTCTCTCAATTGACTGAAAGACTGAAAATGAATTAACAACTCATTGTTCAGTTCTTTAAAAGTTGTTCAGATCAAAATGACCGTTTCAGATCAACATGGCTTGCAAGCGATTTCCTACTACATAAAAATATTAACAAAATAGCTTTTCACAAATTTTGGTATGCTGCTGGCACTTCTATTTTCCTTTTTTTTCTTGTTTTGCTTAGATTCATGAATTATACATTCTTATTCCAAACACGTAGCATTGAAAAATAACAGTTTAGGTGCAGGAAAGTTAAAATATTGATTCGCTGTTGTTTCCAAATAAATGATATAATTTGCAAAAGATAAATCCCTTTACAATTGTTTAAATGTTCTGACATATGTCATCTGCTCATTAGTGCTATATCTTTGTACCCAATCAAAAGAGAAGGATGGCAACATAACACCGCACTCCTATCAGGCAGTAAATATTTTAAAATGCAGTCCTTTATTTAAAACTGTGACTCTCTGTTGTTTCAAAATTGTTTAAAATGCCAAATAAATCAAAGTGTATTACCTATTCCATGTTATCTTAATAGATACTCTCTTTACAATATACAAATTATAAAGTCGTTGAAGCATGCATTACCTGAACATTTCTTGGATGAAGTAGGAAGAGAAATAATTAGATTTTCTACTGTTTGTTACCATGAATGAGAAGACACATTCTATAAATGTCTATCATATTCTTCACATTGTATACCCAAGCTTGACTGACAATACAAACGTTTGACTTATTTTTGTGGATAGAAGATACCTTATTTAGGTAGTTGTTGAAAAATTTCAAAGAAGGCTAAAGGAAGTTTGTATCTTGGTAAACACTTCAATTATTTACATAATGATTAAATCGATGAAAATAAGGAACTACAGAATCCTAAGTACATCTCATTATTATAATTATCAGTACATCTATTATTATTATTATTATTATTATTATTATTATTATTATTATTATTATTATTATTTTCATTAAAGATACGTATTTGTCAAACTCTTTTTTCTGTTCTATTTTAGCGTACGATTGCTATGACATTGGCAAGTATGTATATGAGAATGGACTCACAAGAATAGCTTTACAGTGGATGCAGGCATCATTAGATAAGATAAAACATTTGAACTCCACAAAAGCAAAAGATTTCTCAGCAGATTTAAATGAATTCATAACAGAAATCAAAAGACAAGTAAGATTTCTAGTATATGGTTCCAATATACATGTTTCAATAACTCATCAACGTATTTTTACAGGAGTAACACAAATTGTTTTATCAATAGAAAATGAAAGGATATGGAGTAAATGTACATGGGACAAAATCGCACAAAATACATAGAAAACATAGAAAATTATCAATGAACAGGGTTTTTATTCCTGTTCTCCATCTTGACAGTTGATGTAGGGTCTTCAACAATGAACGAATCATCCATATCCTACAACAAGGTCAAGACGGCCCCTAGCGTTGACTTAAGAGGTACTTTTGATAAAAATAAACCACAGTTCGCCTTCTTGCTCCCCAACCGCCTCGGAGTGCCAACTTGTGCGATGCTTGTGTACGACGGTTCTCCAGTCGAAAGCACCAGGGATCAAGAAAAGTGTAGTAATTTTGAAAGACATCGATCGCCGCTATTTGGTTGTGTCACAAATTTGGATTTTTCTAAATTATTAAAAACATAGCTCTCTTTCAGTTGACTCTTTCCCAATATTCTGTTAACATTATGTTAAGTTCAACGTCCAACAGTACATTTTGATTAACGTTATTTTACCAATTGAAATATTTTTTAATATAAACCTCTTCCTCTTGTGATGTATTGTGATTCAGTATTATGTTAATTCTCCCATAGTTGAATGAGACTGATTGATTAGTTGTTGGTGTTCAATTCCACGGTGGAGGAAGCCAGATCATTCGGTGAGAACAATCGACCTTCGTCTGGAAAACTGGGAAAATACGAGTTGAATAAGAAGACAACTCTGTTATTAGTAAATATATTTAATTGAGACATATTATTAACGCTTTATTTACAGGATCTAAAAGACAGAATACGAACAAGGATGCAAATATCAACCAATCAACTGCCTGGATTTAGTAAGTTCAAATATGCGGAAATACTGTCATTTTTCTAGCGTTAAGTGTATATCAATATGAATTAAAGAAGATATGGCTATTCGTTCAAACATCTCTACAGTAAACATATTGAGTAGAGGTTAATATAATATGGTATTTTACACCAACATCAATTATCTATATACGACAAGATACACTGAAAATCATAGAATAAATGATGTTGGACTTAAAATTTCATGATAATTAATATACTTTAATTAAATAAACAAAGATAAAGTAGAAATGCCTTGTTTATGTCAGTGTTAGAAGAACATTTGATGCTCAAAGTTAACGCACTTAGTTTTAAAAAGAAATAGTCATGAAATACGCGCATTTAAGTGTTAAATCTTGAATATTTTCTCATAATAGCAAAGACCGAGGATGAAACAAAACTACATGTACAATGCACGTTTTGCCTCGAGTTTCTTTTTTCCACAGTTGTTTGATAATAGTTCTATCGAATCATGAGATTCCTTGTCGATTCGCTGTTTTAGAATCTAATGCAATCTGGTTAATATATTCAAAAACGTACACCAAATCTTTGTGATTGGTTAAATCAAACCAACAGTAGTTTTCCGATGTCAAAATCTCGTAAATTGATTAGGAAAGGGGATATATCAAGTTAACAACGGACACCAAGAATATCGCATGAATTCTAAAAGAAACGAGAACGGATTAGTCGACAGGGTTATAATCTCCTGCTATACGTTATTTGTGTATTTCGTACGATCAATTGTGTTGAATCTAAAAAAATCCATTTTCTTTTAAATTGCACTCTTTATGATGACCTGCGATGGATTTTATTTTCTGAATGTTGAAATGTTATCGGACATTTTGCTAACATAGGCGATGGTTAGAATTTATGAATTGTCATGAAATTCTTATATATGGTAAATTCCGTTTCACATAAATTCTTAAAAAATGATTTGTTCAAACTGACTTTTACTAACAGGATCTTGACTTCAGGACATACTAACTAAATCAAGGTATTTTCTAAAGATCTATTACTCAATTGATAATTAAAGTTTAACGCCACTTTCAGATCTATTTTCTATATCGTGCCGCTCACTTTCTTTGTTAAGGAAGCCGGAGTACCGGGATATATTCATCGACCTTCGACAGGATAACTGACAACCATAGTCAATTAAGATTGCAGTTGAACACACGTGCGGGGTTCGAATATACAACATGAGTGTTGACAGGCTATTGATATAGTAGAAGAAATGCTAAGAACACTCGGCCAACGAGGACCTTCTCTAAAGAAGATAGTTATTACCTGCAATTGAGAAGTTCCTACTTTAGGTCTTTTTTAGTTTTATCATATCCTTGACATTTGCATCAAATTTTTGAATTCATAAATTTCTGCATCGAGCATCACTGAAGTGACACTAATTGTCGAAATGCACATTTGGTGCAGTGAAAATATTATCGTAAATGTTCTTCCGATTTATTCCTATTTTGACGTATCCTATCACACACTTTTGATGAAACCTCGAGCTCTGAATGAGAAATATACTGGAATGTACTGAACAAGGTCCTTTTAATTTAGACGCAACAGAAGTAAAAGAATTACAGTTAGTGGTAGCAAACAATTCAATGATATATTATGGGGTAGAAAGTATTAGAAATGCGAAATTTGTGAAGAAATATGAAAACACATGTCTGAAAAGAGTAAGTTTAAAACTAAACGTAGCTTAAACAACAAAACATCATTGATATAGAGAACATATGTGTATGACTTACATACTGGGCGATTCCACCATGAAAAAATCGAATTAGTAGTCACAACCAATAGTGGAAGAAGACAAACAGACAACACCATCCATATCGCCGAAAAAAAACAGGCATTTGATTGACATTAAGTTATTAATGAACTGCATTTATTATGACTCACTTTACTTTTTTATTAGTTTGTGTTTGCTCGTTGTTTGTTTTAGATCGTTTTACAATATCCTAGCAAACAATACTGAGCTATATGACAGAATAATTACTTTTGTTGGTCGTTTAGAGTCAGGGCCTTTTACGACATTGGCATCGGATAAAAAAAAAAAAAAGAAACAAAAAACTAAAAAAAATGCAGATGGAAAAACCCAAAAAAATAAAACCCCATCTTGACCTGATTTTAATGGTATTTTTTTTTATTTTCAACGAAATATTTCGTATTGATTGATATTGAAGGTCTGTAAAAAAGCTTCGTTTTTTTTCATTTTATTTCGATCGGATTTTAACATGTACACAGAGATAATAATTATGTTTGCTAATGAGACAGCTGTGAATCAAAGATTATATGCAGTGAATATAAACAACAAATTGTCATGGTACGACCTTTATCAATGTGCAAAATCATTACCTTATCTTACCAATATAGACCCCAGGCAGCAAATAGTAAAACAATTTCAGAGAAAACGAGCGGCCCTATTTAATGTAAGAGAGATACACATTTCAAATATATATGAAAATGAACAACAACCAATGGAACAGGCAGAAGGGAAGTTGGCGAGAAAACACTTGTTGTAGCATTAAACATTCCCCCTAATCTTGAATAGTCCGACACAATAGAAAAACATTCTGTGAAAATCAGTTAAAAACCACAATAACAGCTACTAAAAAAGGATCAAACACATGACAGATACCACGTTTATTATTCTGTACACCAGACGCGCGTTTCGTCTACAAAAGCCTCATCAGTGATGCTAGAATCCAAAAGAGTGAACGTAGTTACTCTCAAAATGTATCAAAGGATTTTATTTACAAAATTTTAGAGGAATAAGTTATACATCTTTTCCTCAAGATACACATTGATAATTATTTGTTTAGGATGTTCTTGGTTGTACAATGTTATCAGAATTTTTCTACAAAAATAATAAGTAATAAAATTGAAAATGGAATAAGTAGCAGTTTTAAACATTTTATTTTTCAAATGTTAAAGTGTTTATTGAATATAAAATCGAGTATATAAATACTCAGTTTATTATATAGAACTTTTAGAATAAAAGATTTATTGATCCATGTTTTATTCCATTCACTTTTGATCTTGAAACGGCGAAGTGCAGACTATTATTTTTTTAAACCTTAATTATAGGATATACAATGAAGTTTGTAAATATATAGAAATCAAAGAGATGCATTTTTTATTTTTACAAGCAACCAATCCAAATTTATTAGTCTATCATTATAGGATACTCGCTTTGGTGGAGTTTGTAAATATTTAGGAATTAAAGAGTTTACTTTTTACAAACAACCAATCAAAGTGGAGTACATCAATAAATCCCCAATGATACTGATCGTCCATGACATCATTAGTCAGAATCTTCTCGAGAAGTTAAAAGGATTTGCAAACCAGGTAGGAAATGCATTAGTAAATTTCAGGATAAAAAAGTTCAAATAAAATAACAGACAAAATAGTGGAGTTTAATAATTTGTTTTTCGTGTTTATTATTACTATATATATATCTAAAATATTTAAAACGTCTTCTGTAATTTTTAGAATCTGACCCTCCTGGTCATACGTAACCTCAATCACATCGATGGAAGCGGGCTCAACTTAAGTCGAGGGTTCAAACCCAGTCGTTCCATACCAAACGACTTAAACATAGTTACTTTCTACTTCTCTACCCTGATTGTCTCATACCAAAGGACTTAAACATAGTTACTTTCTACTTTTCTACCCTGATCGTCTCATGCCAAAAGGCTTAAACATAGTTACTTTCTACTTCTCTATCCTGGTCGTCTCATACCAAAAGACTTAAACATAGTTACTTTCTACTTTTCTACCCTGGTTGTCTCATACCAAAAGACTTAAAGGTAGATACTTTCTACTTATCTACCATGATCGTCGTATACCTAAAAACTTAAACAAATGTAGTTTCTACCTCTCTTCTAAGCACACATTCTTTTTTTGAATACTAATCGATTCGATTTAGAGTAATGTGTCTGAGTAAAGTTACATGTCACCCTGTCGATTGTTACTATGTAAAGTTTCACGTTAAAAATCTGACTGAGCTTGTCTGTCTGGTGCATTAAGGGTTCACATTTATTTCACATTAACAGGTTCTTGTCTTGATATGCGTTTAAGATTTGCCACTGAACGTTCAACGTCAATTCATCTGCATCGTTATAAGTAATTGACCTTATCAGAAGCTATTATATACATATAAAGGGCTATACGTTATATGTAATAAGTGACGGATATCAAACAATACATCGAAGTTATAATTTACCAGCAAAAAAGTGGATAAACATGTTATTAATGTCAATTATTTTATATAAAAATAATATAATAGTATGAACAAAGGAAATCAAACTTTATCTATTTATACACGTAATATATAATTATTTCTAGTTAAAAAGATCATCAGTAATGAGTGAGGATTCAGTTTCCAGGAAAGCCGATTCCAATGCAAGAACTAGCTCCACGTAAGTTTTCAATTTTAATGCTACTAATTGATTCAAATATATCTTAGAAATTTAATAATCTGAGAAAAAAGTACATTTTCTCCTTGCAAATTTTTGCAAAAACAAGGACACGGACCTGTCATTTTTTTTCTTCTACTTTTTTAGTTCCGTTACTTATATACTATCAATTTATAACAGTCTTTTCAGATCTTGTTATTTTAAAAGAGAAGCGAACATCATTAAAGCATGTGATAATAAAAGTTGGTTGCATTAAAGTCGCTTAACCTTCTGCTTCTTATGCTCCTTAACAACTCGTTTTTTTAATATATTTCCTTACAATGCAAGAATGCTATGTGTGTTTCGTTTACTAAAAGTTTCGTTTACTTACGACGAAGCGGGTTTATGCGACAAAAATTTTACAACTGTGTGCTTTACCACTTATCGTTAGTTTTAGTTTTGAAATGCGATGTAAGTCGGACAAAGCGAAATATCTTATGACTAAATAGAATTTAAAAAAAAAGATAATCAATAATTTTTTAGATATAATTGGCTTTGAACTGTCATATCGGTAAAAGACTAAAACAGAACTAGATATATATTTAGTCTAAAGCAAAACTAGATATGTCTTTAGTCTTATCAATCTTATAGAGTTATATGTCTACTTTTGATAAAAATGGTGATAGCTATATATTTGATATTCAAATGAAATTGTCTATCTCCCAGTACAACTACATGTATAATACGATATTTCTGTACTCTACGAGTTTTTTTTGGAACTACACTGTTCTATCTCATATAAGATTATAATAGCTTATTCATCTAGTTAATTCAAAGAAAAACCTTATTTTTATCTAGTATCTCGACTATTTTTCATGTATTTTTGCTGTGAAATAATTGTTATCAAAATTATCTTAACAGTACTATGCATGTATGGTTTGAACTCAATCTATGAGCAATTCTTAGCAAATCCAACAGTCTAGAACTTGGGATATTACACAGTTAAAAAATCAATGGTCTATCTCCAAAAGAAATATATGGATAAACTTCTAAAACAACATTGTTTGTAGTGAGGTGATTTATCTCCAGAGAAAAAGGATGCTTTATTTATCTAAGTCACTTGTCTATTAAAAAAAAACCAATCGAACAAAGAGTTAACCTTCATGTACGTAAATTCGATTCCTGTTTAACTTTGTTATGTTTCAGTCAAATATTTATGATATTGCGCTTTTAAACTTCATATTCAACTTCCAAACAGTTAGACAAATGGGAAATACATAATTATAAGATTCACACAACGATATATTGCTATATATGTAGAGTTATAAGAACTTGTGATCTTACAACCAACTGATACTGTTTACTAATATTTTGGCATTGCACAAGTTAATGCTTTTCTCAGACTGTTTATGATGTCTTTACACGAAATCTGGTTGATACTTTAGAGGGTGATACCATGATGTTTTTTTCTGTTGTAATTTGCTTTGCCCTAGCAGTCATTAACTCCGTGTACTCTTATGTAAAATGTTTTTGTGCCTTGTATCGTTAAGCCATTTTCAAATTATTTTTACTGTTTATTCTTATGTTGTGCTTTTACACGACCGTCCCAAATTAGGGGAAGGGTTGAGCACTAATAAACATGGTAATTCTTCCAAATTCTTAACATGTCTGTTCCAAGTCAGGATCCTGTAATTCAGTGGTTGTCATTGGTTTTTGTCACTCATATTTGTTTTTCTTATATTGCATTGTTATAAATTAGGCTGTCAGTTTCTCGTTTGAATTGGTTCACAATTTTTGCGTCTGGCCCTTTTACAGATTACTATTAGACCATACGGTGACCTTTAATGCAGGTCATTACAACACTGGTGGATAATTGTGTCATTGACAATCATACCACATTTCCTTATTTTTATACTGTTTGATTTTACTACTATAATTGTTGATTTCACTGTAACAGGTAATTTTTTGGGTAAATGAAAAAATGGCTCCCTATATCATTTTCAATATAATGGAAGACAATAAACCGGCTTGAATAATCTTGATTCATTTATTGGGCGCTAATGTTTTTGGATTGAGGAAAATGTACACTTTGTGATGTTTGCTAATTCTGCATACAAGCATATAAGGAATTGAACTTCGTTGAACAATTAAATGTGTGGTTCACTTATACCCACGAAATCCATGGAAATTGGTATCCCACGAATAATAATTAATGAACAGTAGGTATATTATCTTACCTCCTATACATTTCTGGGAATATGATTGGTTAAAATGAACCGCCTGGAGACCGTGTATATTCCATATTAGGTTAGTAGGGTTCCATATTTGGTTAGTAGGCGGGGCTTATTTCAATACACGGTTAGTAGTAGTGTTACGTCCCTTTAAAAAAACAACACGGTATTGAGGAAAAATCTTAAAGGTTTCAACAGACGAAGAAATTGACTGATGATGAACGATTAAAATAAATTCATAAAACACATTTAAAGCTAACAAGTTGTTATTGTTGGCATTTGTTTTTGTATAGACCAATGGAAGTAGGTTCTTAATACTAACGGTATTGAAGACTTGATCACTTTGATAGGCCACTAGTCTAAATACCACATGTTAAGATAGTCGGTAAGATAAATTCGTTAAATAGTGTACTAGTGACCTAATACGATGTATATGGGGTTAGTAAATTCCATATGGGAATTCGAGCTTCACTCTCACCCTATATGGCATTTACTGACCCCATATATATCGTATTAGGTCACTAGCACACTATGTAACTAATATTATCAGCATCCTTTTACTATTCCATTTTTAACTTTTGAAAATTTAGTTTGCTTGCCTCTTAACTGTTTTAGACTGTTAACTCTTGTTACAGGTATAACTTTATGGACGATATGACTGATCCTGATGTTATGAAGTTTAATGGACTTCTAGAACGTCTAACTGGACTAAGAACAAACTCTCGACAAGCCGACCACTTGCAGGTAAAAAAGGTTGAATACTTGTAATTCCATGGAATGTATAGAGGTATTTCAGACTGAACACCTACAATTACCAATATTCACACTGAAAGATTACTAAGGCCGTGTTCGCATTGCGCTAAACTCGTTGTGGTGTAAGTGTCTTCAACATGTAAACTATATTCTACTACGTTCCTATTGATACAAATCAAGCTTTACATGTGGTTTCACTTAGGTTCTAATTGCATGCAGTCGGTAGTCAATTTAGGCATTTGGTGGGAGAAGTGTTAATAAAAGTGGATATTCAGAAAGTTAATTTCATTATGAATATTTAAGGAAGAAACTTCTATTGAATAAAACAGATGATAATAATATTAAGAATTAATGGGTGCCACATGTGGAGCATGATCTGCTTACCCTTCCGTAGCACCTGAGATCACCCCCAGTTTTTGGTGGGGGTTCGTGTTGCTCGGTCTTTGGTTTTCTATGTTGTTTGTCTGTTTTTCTTTTTTCTTTTTTAGTCATGGCGTGGTCAGTGTATCTTCAACATGTGAGTTTTAATGTCCCTTTGGTATCCTTCGCCTCTCTTTTAAGTTATGTTCCAATTTTTGGTCCAAAACTGAAACTATTGCTCAGTTATTTTTAACCTGACTTATCCATTTTCAGACTCAACGCAATCATCATACACATCATTCACTTCAAATTGTTTTCCCTAAATGAGTGTTCTCTTCCAGATACAGTGATAAATGTATTGTTTTGTTATTGTTTGATTGTTGTTTACTTTACGTCCAGTGGCAAATAGTTCATTCATGTTTAGGACGACATTATATTGACAATTTATACAAAAGGCAGGTTCTCCAATAGTCGACGATGATGAAGGGAGGGAAATTTAAAATGTCACTAGATAATAAGGATACATTGTATAGGGACAGAAATTAAGCACTGCAACATGGTACATTGTACCTCAAAGAGTTGTTGCAATGGTCATGATGGTTCTCAACTGCAGAGATAGTGGCAATTTTTCTACGCGGCAACGGATTAAACCCCCCATTCGGACCTGACGTGACTTATACATCCTGCACAGAAAGAAGAAAGCCTGACTTTTGCAAGGGTTTTACTGCCAGTCAAAAGAAGACCAAGGGTTAACATCTATACCGAAGTCAACCCATGGAGTCAATAAATTCATAGCAGCAGTACCATTATCAGAATCAATTTGATAGTATATGAACAGCCAAATGAGAGACCAAACAAGTTAAAAAACCGTTAAGCATTGATGAACATTTCATTTTTTTATGCAATCATGACATTCTTGGAACGCTCAAAAAAGTACTTTAAATCAGAAAAACGATTTTTATAAAGCACTGATGACTTATCTTTCCAGTAGAGAGGAGGAGGGCAAACAAACTGTTTGACTTTCTAAAAATAAATCTGAAGCAATTGTGTTTTTCTCAAGAAATTTGGAATCAAAATATATTTATTGAAAATAAAACATCCCTCCTACAACAACAACACCTGCATAGCGTCTTACTGTTGTAGAGATTAACAAAGAAATGTTCTGTTCTATTCTATGTGATGAACAATTACATTACTCCTATCTGTAGCTTACTCGTATGAACAAATCTCATGACGAGTTACACGAACTAAAAAAAAACGTTGTGTACTGTACATGAAAACTGTAAAATAATGGAAATAAAACAAACAGAATAAAACAAAACTATAGATATCTAAAGGGCATCAAAAATTATAATTCGAAAAAAGACCACCAAAAACAATGGAAAAAAATCAAGAAAAAGCAACGACAAACAATATACCAGTCTTAAACACTACATAGACAACTAAACACTGAGATAGAAAAAAAAGATAGGTTCATCATTCGTGATTACCCTTGCATATATCTACTGCAGCGTTATCATCGTAGATTCGATCATTGTTTTTGGTATCTCTTAGAATATCGAAACACACTTAAGGCCCATTGTTTTTCCATATGTAGATATTGACATACATACATGTCGAATTAGACTTTTCAACGTGTGTGTACTTACATGAACAACACGATGGGTGCTAGATATGGAGAAGGATATTCTTACCCTTCCGCATTATAAACCGGTTTTTGGTGGGTTCTTGTTGTTTAGGGTTCATGTTGTGTTTTGTATACTGTTGTAGATATTTGATCGTTTTTTGTTTGTTTTTTGATATGACTTGTCAGTTTGTTTTCGACTTATTAGTTTGAGTATCCCTTTGGTATCGTTCTCCTATCTTATATATATATATCATGACGTATAATTCATTGTTGTGGAATACTTATCTCATTTTTTCATTTTGTTATTTTATGCATATTTATTTAGTAACGAATGCAATACTTTTGTTATTATGTAAATGTTTTCGTTTTTTTCTCTAATTCAGGTTGTTAATTACGGTATCGGCGGAGAATATCAGCCACATTTTGATTGGCTTGATGAAACACTGGTAAGGTATAAATTTTAAACAATTATTTTGATTTCGAAATAATCAGTGAAATAGAGAGACATAAAATGTAAAGTAACAAAAATGCCGATCTCTTAAGAGAGTCAAAAACGGAAAGTCCCTTTGGAGTCATTGTGGATGAATTCCCACTCGGCTTATAATTTGGGGATGGCGGATGGGGATATTAAATCATTTAAATATTGAACCGTTGTTAAAATTGACATCAGCTATAACGAACTCCAAGAAAAATCAAAACGGAAAGTCCTTTAACAAATATTTGTGTTATGATGATATTACATATTAAGCTCAGAAAAAAACCTGATCGAATATGTAAAAAATAACATAGAACTGGTTATTGAAAATGATAATACCGAGGCAGTCAAGGCAAAAACACAATAAACTACACAACAAATGCCTTTAAAATCAAAAGTTAAGAAAAAAAACCGAAAAGCACATTCCAAGTCAACGTTAAAAAAAGGCAGGCATTTCATGATCTGTATGCCACTCTGTAGTATTGTTTATCATTGATATGATCATCATGTTTTGCATGCAAAACTTCAGTATTGCAAATTAAAGGTAGACATATTAATGTATCACAACGTATTATTTCCCCATGACAATACAATTTATCATACTGCATTTCAAAATGCTAGATTTTGATTGGTTAATACAAGGGAGATAATGTACTCTATCAAATGGAAAATACTCTATTACCATTCACGCAGACGATTCATCAATTGTTCGCTTTATCAAATACGGATGATTATGTACAGTACTTGCAACCTTAGGCGTTACTGTTTGACGTGAACTTGACTGATCGGTGAATGATCGGTGACGGATGTTTGACTGATCGATGACTGATCGGTGATCGATGACCCATAGAATCCGTCAGATACGTCAAATAGGCTATGTGAGAGTTACCGTGACAACGGTCAGCGATCGATCAGTAAATTAATTGTATGCACGGATCGGACGAATACGTATATAATTAAAATTCTTATGTAAAACGAACTCCACAGTATTTACAGTCGATAAACGCGGACCTCTACGAAGACACCTTTACTCGTTAATTATGTACCACTAAAAAGCGATAAAATGTTATCATTTAAAATAAATACTCTATTTGTTGTCGTTAGATGATGAAAATAAAAATAGTATAACAGTAAAGATACATATATACAGCTTTGTTTGGATTAATTAATTTAGAGTGTTGTTTTAATTTTTGTTCTAGATTACCAATATTTCTTCTTCTTATAACATATAATGCAATGTTATTTCTGATTAGTTATTTAAAGGCCTCAGGAAAAGTTTCTTTGATGGAATTTAAAAAAAATAAGTATTAAAATACTTAAACTTTAATTTGTGTTGATTAAAGATGCAATCATTTCATTATTTTGTACTTTTTGTACATCAGGATTGGTCGTTTTTCATAAAATATGCTGAATTTCAGGAAAAAGATACTAAATTTTTGTTCGCGTTGCTTAAATATGCAAATATTTCTTCTTTCATATCAGAAATAATCCAACTTCAATTGCAATCAGTCATAGTTAATGCATTCAGATAATTACTTAAATTGTATAAGATATGAATAATTTAAGGATAGATATACATACACTATTGTTTTTATTAAATAAGAATTCAATAATTTCTTTTTTTTAATGGAAATTATTGGAACGCCTATGGCTTTTTGTACTTTTTATGGTTTAGGATTGGTTGTTTTGTATAAAATCAAAATAATATCTGATAAAATATACTAAAATGTTGTTCTCATTGATTAAAATTACCAATTTTTCTTCTTTTGATAAAAAATAATGCAATGTTATTTGTAACTTGTTATTTCAAAATCCTCCAATAAGATTTTTTTTGTAAGAATTTTGATAATGTAAGGAGAATAATACTTAAACTTTTGTTTTGTGTTGAATACGAATGCAATAATTTCTTTATATAAATAGAAATTATGAACCGTCATTTGATTTCAGTACATTTTGTACATCAGGATTGGTTGTTTTTCATAAAATATGCTGATTTTCAGAGAAAAGATACTAAATTTTTGTTCGCATTGCTTAAATATGCAAATATTTCTTCTTTTATATCAGAAATAATGCAACTTCAATTGCAATCAGTCATTATAAATGCATTTAAATAAGTAATTTTGTATAAAATGTGAATCATTGAAGGATAAATATGCATAAACTTTTGTTTTTGTTAGATAAGAATGCAATAATTTCTTTATTTTGATAAAAATTATGAACCGTCATTTGATTTTGGTTCTTTTTGTACATCAGGATTGGTTTATTTTCATAAAATATGCTGAATTTCAAGGAAAAGATACTAAATTTGTGTTCGCAATGCTTAAAAATGCAGATATTTCTTCTTTAATATCAGAAATAATTCAACGTCAATTGCAATCAGTCATAAGTAATGCATTCAAATAAGTACTTTTATATAAGATATGAATAATTTAAGGATAAATATACATAAACTTTTGTTTTTTTAAAAAAGAATTCAATAATTTCTCTTTTTTAATGGAAATTATTGAACGCCTATGGCTTTTTGTACTTTTTATGGTTCAGGATTTGTTGTATTTCATAAAATATGTTAAATTTAAGGGAAAAGATTCTAAATGTAATGTTCGCATTGCTTAAAAATACAAATATTTCTTGTTTTATATCAAAAATAATGCAACGTCAATTGCTTTCAGTCATTATAAATGTTGTTCGCATTATTTAAAATTACAAATTTCTCTTGTTTTGTTAAAAAATAATGCAATGTTATTTGTAACCAGTTATTTCAAAGGCTTCAAGATTATTTTTCTTATAAGAATTTTAATATTGTAAGTAGAATAAGGCTTAAACTTTTGTTGGTGTTGAAAATGAATGCAATACTATCTTCATTTTGATAGAAATAATGAATCACCATTTGATTTCAGTACTTTTTGTACATCAGAATTGGTTGCATTTTATAAAATATGTTGAATTTAAGAGATCAGATACTAAATTCAATGTTCGCATTGCATAAAAATACAAATATTTCTTCTTTTATATCAGAAATAGTGCAATGCAATTCCTATCAGTCATTATAAATGCCTTTAGATAAGTAATTTTTAATAAAATGTGAATAAAGAAGGATAAATATGCAGAAACTTTTGTTTTTGTTGAAATAGAATGCAATAATTCCTTTATTTGAATGGAAATTATTGACCGTCATTGGATTTTTGTACTTTTTATAGCTTAGGATTGATTATTTTTTTATTAATTTTAAAGACTATCAGAAAAAATCTACTATAATGTTGTTCTCGTTGTTTAAAATTACCAATATTTTTTTTATTTTTAAGGGAATTTGCAGCATTTTTATTTCCTATTTGTGATTTGTTATTTTAATGGCCTCGAGATAAGTTTGTTTAAAGAATTTTAAGATTATAAGGATAAAATACTTAAAAATATTTAAAAATAATACATCGAAATTTGCAGTAAATGATCATTTCATTTTATTTTCAAGAGCATTTTCGGAAAATAATAAAATCACTGAAAATCGCGATAAACACCGTTTTAGAAATGTCCGGGTTTGAAAAAATATTACCTAAATTAAAACGAAAATGGCCATTCTTTAATAGTAATATTTAAATTTAGTTTTATATGCATATTTCTTTTCTTTTTAAATTCTTAAAACTGTGCTAAATAATTAATAAAAAAAGATGTTGATCATTTGTACTTGAATGTTTCGTATTTTCCATGTCGCCATTTTAATTAAATGAAACGAAACTAAGATTTCGTAATTTGTATTAGTTTATCATGTGACGTAGTAGAGTTCAATCCGTCAGAAAGGTCGATCGGTCCTATCCGTCCAATCCGTCCGATCAGTCAAATACTTTTACTATAAGTCTGACGGATTGGTGAGGTAAGTTTGACGCGAACTTGACTGATCGGTGACTGATCGATGACCGCTGATTGATCGCTAAAACAGTAACGCCTAAGGTTGCAAGTACTGTACAAGACTTTATGGTTTATTACTTTGAATTTGAAATTTAAAAGACAGTAATAACATAACATTCAGCATAATATATTAAATAACACATAACTGAGAGGGTGATCGAGCAGATTGCTACCCCTCGAAAAGACGTACTCATCCTTGTCTTCGCCTCAGTTGACAATGTTCTCTCGGGGTATCAATATTAATCTGCTCTTCAATGCTCTCAGCTATTATGGCTATGTGATATTTGTATGATAGTGAATCATATGCGCTGTTTAGAATGAATCACGCTGGACAAACGTTATAATACACAACAATGCTATAGACCTAGGAATAAAGTTTTTAAAGTAGTAGCAAATACAAAAAAATATGCACCAAATGTTGTAAGAAATGCATTACCAATGCTTTTGATTGTCTGTACTGCCCAAAGATAAACTTGATAAACCAGTTTACAGACATGCTAATTAGATTGTATTTATATGAATATTCATATTGTAGATTGATGATTTTTTTCGTACTGGAACAAACAGGGTTTTGACTATAATACTTTACGTAAGTATTTAATTTTACTTAAGTATTAACCATAAACTTTCTATATATTCTCTTATCGTTTCTTATATCACGCAGAAAATCTTGTATCGGATTGAAATGTCTTGTAGTGATCTATTCATAAATCATTGAGTCGCTAATCGTTCCTAGTATCATCTTGAAACTTCCATGTCTGACTAAAGTGTCATATAGTGAAATTTTGAAAAGCTGCTAACATATCTCAACGACTTCTTCCTCTTTAAGGATTTAACCATTATTTCTTTCAAACAGTTTCATAAATCGCTTTGCTGCAGTTGTTTAATAAATACGTAGACGATGGTAAATAAAATTGAGAATGGAAATGGGGAATGTGTCAAAGAGACAACAAACAGGCCAAAGAGCACAAAACAGCCGAAGGCCACCAATGGGTCTACAACACAGCGAGAAAATAGTAAACTTGTTTCCGCTCTAGGTTACATAAAATAGCTCTAATAGAAAAACAAAAGATATAGGGTATCCATCCATGACAAAAAACCAGTACACGCACAGATAAAAAAACCCACACAAAAAGCAAAGAAACAGCATTATTTTTGACATTTTTACCTATTGCTGTTTGTTTTGTTCACACATTGTTGTCAATATAATGGAATTTTATGCGACTGTCATACAAGTGAGAGGTTTAGCTAGCTATAAAATTGGGTTTAATCCACCATTTTCTACATATGGAATTGCCTATACCTAGTCAGGAATATGACAGTTGTTTTCCAATCGTTTGATGTATTTGAGCTTTTGATTTTGCAATTCGATGAGGGACTTCCGAATTGAATTTTCCTTGGACTTCGATGTTTTTTGTTGTTTTTCATCTCAAAGTCACAATGAGGCCTTCAACACAGAGCAACAAAAACTCGGTTCGAGCGGAATTCTTTGCAAAATTATTCGGGTAGACTTTGTAAGATGTAACACCACCAAATCGGACCCGGTGAAAAATAACTTACTCGAAAGTAGAACATATTTTAAACAAATTAGTTTCTACGCATAGGTGTAAATATCAAACTTTGTTGAATATATTTTGATAATTTAAGTATCAAATGAAAGTTGAACATGTTGAAGGACTGTTGATCCTTGTAGAAACCTTTTGACTGATAATCTCAAATAACACAAAAAGGTATGAATAAATCTAAAAAGGAGGGCATATATTGACTATTTCAGTGGTATGCGTCTTGATACAATTTCAATACACAATTTGGCCTAAAATTGAGAGAATGATGTGGCACACATAAGATAAGTTATCTCAATAATTGAAGCTAGTTTGCATTATTGTTCTCTTAACGTCATTACATAATGGCTGTATCGAGGCGAGAATCAAAATACCGATTACACAGTCAGATGTCAAAGAACTAATGAGACCCCAGACTTGAATACCTAATACCAACATTATGCTTGATCACAAAGAAGATGATGGTGATTAGAGACATTCTTTTGACCTTTCAATCGGATAAATAGTAAATTTCATCATTTTTCTCTTAACCTGTTTTTACTTTCTGTTCTAGTATTTATTAAATCAGCCAATGAGATTCCTGCCTACAAAATGTATTTGATTTGATTTCATTACATTCAAATAAAATAACAAAATTATGTATTTATCAAATTACAGTTGAGTGACGTGGAAGTCGGCGGTTCGACAGTTTTTCCAGAATTAGGACTTGCTGTGTCACCTGTGAAGGTATATCCATGTATAAAACTTTTAAAATACGTTATAACGTGAGGGGTTTGCTCATAACTCTCAGTAGAATTAATTTATTCTAAACGTAATAACATAATATACCATGGTTTTTCTGTCGGCAGTCTTAGCCGGCGATAGCTAGATTTACATGTATAACAATGTTTCTGCTCTCTATGCTCTTCAACTTCGTATTGATTTTGGATTAAAATATTTTGATTTGAACTCAAATGACTTCATTCTCAATAGACAAGAAGTACTGGTGTCAGTTATACTGCCAAAGATCGGTGGTTCTTACACGGCACTCAGGCATCCTCCACCAATAAAAAATTACTGGAATTGGCGTTAAACACTATTCATTTTTTTTAGTGTTATATGATAGCAACACATAAACAAATAGGATCATAAGTAACATGGAATACAATTTTCAAAGCATAAAATTGAAGTTTTGGACATAATGGCCAATACACACGGCGAAATTTCATTCATTCAGCTGCATTCATATATTTCATTCGAATTGAATTATAAATATTGAACGATTTGGATATGATTGGATAGAATTGTAAGGAACATTTGAAACTTCAACCAACTCTTTTCCCGGCATCTTTTACGGAAGACACAATAGGAGCTGTCTTCCCGATTGCCCTTCAAAAATCCATCTGTTTTGCTATTAGAAAATCGGATCCAGATTAACCACCCTAACAAACATTTTATTAATTGCTCCTCGGATCGCTTCGGTGTTTCGGATCGGGATACCCGGTATTTTGTATCTGCCGGTAATAGGATTTGTTGAATGTATGTTAAATTGAAATTAAACCACAATCCATCTAATTTTGTAGGGTTCAGCTTTATTTTTTACAAATTTGGACAAAGATGAACAGGGTGACCGAGCAACATTACATGCAGGATGCCCAGTATTTTTTGGATCAAAGTGGATCGCCAACAAATGGATACATAAAAAAGACCAGGATATGAATTTTCTGCAGACCATTCCCTCAATTTGGAAATATTTTTAGTCCATGATTTCATGGGACAATTTTGAAGAACAATATTAAGTCTCTATGCAAATATTTAACTAAGATTAAAAATTTGATTTACACAAGGAGGCCATTACAGGTTACTGATTACATTTAGTAAAATCCACATGAATAAAAATGTATTTATATACTTAATTCTAATAATATAAAACAGACACCATATCACTTGAAGCAAATCACAAGATATAAGTCCATATTTTTCCCAATCTAATTAAAATATAGAACTCGGATTTCGTTATACTCCATACGAGTTCTAACCATGATGCGTATATAGTTTCACTTCTGAAGGATTTTGCATGTGACTTTTTCAACCAATCAGAATTCTGGTTATCGAATCTGAACAGTGCACGTGGAACATATACTTGAATGAGGTTTATTGAAAGGTCCCGAGGGTATCCAAAAATAAAAGCAATGGGACTAACAAGTTTATCGGTTGGAGATAGTTTTTAAATCTCTTTCGTCGTCATTACATCATATAATACCATTCAATACAAAACATTATGATAGTAAATAAATAGTAACTATAGCCATGGATATTGAAATATGTGACGTTTGTCATAGTTTTCAGATGTGCCCCATATGCTTTTATGACTTGAGGTCGGATCGTAATCGTGGAAATTAAGAGTACAGTGAACACTTTAAAAATGTACACTGTAGCGCTGATTCCCCCTGCCAGATGTGGATCAAGGATGTTGATAAGGAGGTACAAACTATGCATCGTTTGGAATGGGATATGTAAAAAGTCTAAGCATTAACCATACAAATAAATTATATGTGTATCTCAACAAGCCCCCAAGTATCTAGTAAAAATAATTCTTAGGTCGTAGGCTATATATAACACATGAATTTTCTGTACAATTCCCATGCTGTTGGGGATACATATGTACCAGAAACCAATCATAGTCTATCATAGACATAATAATTGATGTTTTACTGCTCGTTTGCTAAACATCTTCCTTCATTAGAGTACATCCAATCAAAAATTTATAAATAGAACTAAATTTTATTATTTTTTCTGATATGTACCTTTTATTAATCTTATAATCTAGATAAAAAAAGTGGCAAGGTTAAGATCTATACTTTAACAAGAGTGTACAAGCTGAAATGTCTCGCCTGCTTTACGTATGATTGAATGTATGTTGAAAGTCTGTTATATGAAGGTTTCACTACAAGCATCATTTAAACTTAAAGTCTGAAAGGACCATATTTTGTGCAAAACCAGTAAGGTAGAGCACATATTTTACTTGACACGACTCAAAATAATCATATATATATAATTGAGATAGCTGTAGAATTTTTTAAATGTGACTATCTGAATTTAGACAATCCTTAAATTTGACAGCAATTAACCATACATCAAATGACCAGGCATTTTGTAATAATAAATGTATGATTGAGATAGCTTTGAACTTAGCCCGAACTGAAAATTCTAGCTTTTTTAACCTATTAATTAAATCCTTATATGTATAGCTATCAATAAACCAAACTACCAAATAACCTGGAATTTTGTAAGATCAATATATGATTGAGATAGCTGTAGAGTTTTATTAAAATCCAAGTTAATTTGAAAATGTTATAGACATTTTTAAAGGTGACTATCTGAATTTAGTCCGAACTGAACATTCTAGCTTTTTTAACCTTTTAAGCAATAAACTAAATTATCAAATATCCTGGCATTTTATAAGATCAATATATAATTGACATAGATGGGCTGATTCAGACTATGTCAAGACCGGTCGAGATTAAATTAAAAGTTCAAAACTGAGTCGAGCATTGGTCAAGAATGGTCAAGACTGGTCGAGCATTTGTGGAGACTATATTCAGACATAAATTAGGCCATTAGTTTTCTCGTTTGAATTATTTTACATTTGCCATTTCTGGACCTGTTATAACTATGCGGTATTGGCTTTGCTCATTGTTGAAGGTCGTACAATGACCTATAGTTGTTCATTTCTGTGTCATTTGGTCTCTTGTGGAGAGTTGTCTCATTGGCAATCATACCACATCTTCTTATTTTTATATTTACCAAGATTATTAAGTACTCAATCTGACTTAAGCCTAGACAAAGGTCAAGTACAGTTAAGTACTGTCGAGTGTCAAGTCTTGTCAAGTAAAATTAGTGCTCTACCTTTCTGGTTGAGTACAAAATATGGTCTTTTCAGACTCTGAACAGTTTGTTGTGCATTCCAGACAAACATGTTCACCTTACATTCATTACATACACCCACTATAGTGGTCTTATTTCTTTGATTTCTTGGAAAATAGACCAAATCAAAACTTTCCTTTGACAAATGAACCATGAAAATGAGGTCACAGTCATATGAATTCTGCCAAACAAGCATGTACAATATAAATCTATAATTTCATATACTTAATCTGATAAACTGAAAAGAAAACATAAAAATAAGCACTTTTATGGTAATATTCTTTACAAAGCACAAAAATGTCAGTATTCACCTCAAAAGCTAACAAAACCTTCAAACAGACTTATTAAGAAGGGATATAGTTACGATACTGTTGTCAGGTCATTAAATATTGCATATTTTGGCTTTAATATTGATTCACTTATAGGGTCTTTGCATCGGAATTAAACATATTTATTCTAAAACCAGTTGTTGGCATGACACGGGTTATGTTTTTCTCATATATTATATGACGGTATAATACTAAACCCCTAACAGGAAGGATTGTGCCTGATATTCATATGATGAAGACATAATATTTCAATCAGTTTAATTGAGGTCTGGAGCTGGCATGTCAGTAACCGCTAATAGTCTGTTGTTTTTAATGTATTATTGTCATTTTGTTTATTTTCTTTTGTTTCCTATTCTGACATCAGACTCGGACTTCTCTTGAACTGAGTTTTACTGTGCGTACTGTTGTACATTTGTTTTTTCTACATTGGCTAGAGGTATAGGGGGAGGGTTGAGATCTCAAAAAACATGTTTAACCCCGCCGCATTTTTGCGCCTGTCCCAAGTCAGGAGCCTTTGGCCTTTGTTAGTCTTGTATCATTTTTAATTTTAGTTTCTTGTGTATAATTTGGAGTTTAGTATGGCGTCCATTATCACTGAACTAGTATACATATTTGTTTAGGGGCCAGCTAAAGGACGCCTCCGGGTGCGGGAGTTTCTCGCTGCATTGAAGACCCATTGGTGGCCTTCGGCTGTTGTCTGATCTATGGTCGGGTTGTTGTCTCTTTGACACATTCCCCATTTCCTTTCTCAATTTTACTGACAAATGAACCTGGCATGAAAATGAGGGCTAGATCAAATGAAACTTGCCAGACAGACATGAACACCTTATAATCATTCCATATGCAAAATATAGTGGCCCTATTGCTTCAAGTCTCTGAAAAATAGGCCAAAACCTTAAAAAATAAATGTCATATATTGAATCATGAAAAAAGGTCAAGGTCAAATAAAAAATGTTAGTCCGATATTCACATGTACACCTAACAATCATTTTATACACTAAATATAGTTGACCTATAATATTACTTATAGAATCTGAGATACAGACTTGACCATAATAATTGAAAATTTCACATGAGGAAAAAGCATGATTTTTATTCAAGCAGTCACTGAACCATTAACATTAGGTCAAGGACAATGAACATTTGATGGACAGAAACTTAGTGACTAAACATAAGGTATCTGTGTAGAAGGTATGAAACATCCAGGTCTTCCATCTTCTGAAATATCAAACCTTATTCAAATAGTTGTAGTACATGTTGTATGGCATATCGGTTTTTTTTGGAAATTTATAGAATTGTGTATTAAATGCATATGACAGATCTATATAAAAATAGATTTGGTTTATGTACATGTACACGAATGATTGTCACTGACACAATGAGCAAGATATTTCTGCTAAATTAATTTACTACTTTTATAGACACAGGACATTTAAGAGCTTCACACATTGCATAGACCATTGCCTTTCCTTCTATTGAAGACTTATATAGACATGTAGGTTTCATTCTAGATGTCATTTAATTATTTTTTGCTGTTGAATGTCTGAAAGTACCCTACAGCCACGTTTGCCTATTCTCCAGGACCCAACACATCATGTTTCTGCAGTACAGAATAGGACAAACTCTATGATGTCTCGTGGCTCATATGAAGGGTGGATGCTTCTTCAGGGGTCCTGACCCAGTCCTTCATGTTGTACTATGGTTTGACTACCGAGCTAGTCAGTATTTCTTTTAAGTTTCGATGTCTACTATACGCAACCATTGGTGGTTTTGGAAATAGCTCCCTACATTTCGCATTGCGAAGTAGTTTTTCATAATGTTTACGCAAAGCTTTATTTATATTTCCAACGAAAAGAGATATTTGGTTACAAATACTAGTGGTATCTGCTTGTCTGATTCTTGTTTAAAGCGGCGAAACTCTGACCGTTCGATATTGAGAGCCGAATCACAGTTACGATGTATTTCTTGCTCCTTATATCCCCTTTGGTTAGGATTACCTTTGAATTTACATATTGTATCTTTTAAATTCTGTTTGTTACTGTTGTTCCGATGGTGGCGAATAGCTTCCCCTTTTGTAAATCCAGAGAAGACTGTTGGGTTATGCATAGACGTCCTATCTAAATATTGAAATGTATTGGTAGGTTTGATGTATCTCTTTATATCAAGAATACCGGTGTTCTTGAACCTCTTCTCTTTATTTACGACTGAAATGTCATAAGTAAACTTTAATAAAGGGTGATGATCATTTGCTATTTTAAAGAACTCCTCATCCTCTTCTCGTGATGAATGAGCTATTATAAATGCATCATCTCTATACCTTCCGACAAATAAAATCTTATTTTTATACTTATATTTTTCAATGACTTCATTGATAACTTCGAATGCTCTAACATTGTCTAATATCACAAATTTCTGGACTGCATTTACTTCCCATACTAGCGCCTATTTTCTGTACAAAGTATCGGTCATTAAATTCAAAATAATTGTTTTTCAACACTGTGGCTACTAGCGATTTAATTGTTTCACAGCTAGGTAATTTTATCGGATAATCTTCTTTTACTGCACTGCTATAGGCCCGTCCAACAGATTG